AGAGTAAGAGTATAAGAGTAAGAGTACAAGAGTAAGAGTACAAGAGTAAGAGTACAAGAGTAAGAGTAAGAGTAAGAGTAAGAGTAAGAGTAAGAGTAAGAGAAAGAGTAAGAGTAAGAGTAAGAGTAAGAGTAAGAGTAAGAGTAAAAGTAAGAGTACGAGCAAGAATAGGAGTAAGAGTAAAAGTAAGAGTACGAGTAAAAAGAAAGAGGCAGAACAAGAGTAAGAGTAAGAGTAAGTGCAATAATAGTAGTCTTCGTAATACTTGCACTGATGACAACACATTCTCATAGTAATCAGTAATGATCATAAGCATATATAAGCATAACAAGAGTGCATAATAATTACCGCAAGACCCCAAACCCCGAGGCCTGAGACCCGAAGCCTCCTCTTGTTTCGCGCTGCAGCGTTTCGTTTTGGGGGGCCGGTGGCGTCTGCGTGGCGCCATGGCCGAGCACTTTGGCTTCTTAGAGTTTGGGTTTGGGGGCTTGGACTTTGTGGTTGAGGTGTGCATGTGAGGCGCCGTGTTTGCCATGCATTCATGCGATGATGGACTGATGGACGCTCCAGCTCTACTTTAGGAGCAAAGTTGACACGATGCTTCCGACCTCAAAATAGCACGACGGCAGAGGACCGCATCACGGGCAGAGAGGTTGAGATTTGCGTGATGTGTCCTGTCAGGTATGATTATGACCTCTTCGCAGCTCGCTTGCACTTAAAGACGGGTCCACTTTGTACCATGCGCCGGCCCTTGCAAGACTCAACGTTAAATCGTATCCAGGTTGTTCCCTGGCGACCGCATGTGCTGGACCTAAACCCTAAAACCCAAGCCCATGCCTTTGCCCCCCGAGATCCAAGGTGATTGGCGGCGGGTCTGGCGGCCTCGCTGCGACGAAGGCAGCCAGCGACCTTGGTGCCAAGGCTGGGGGAAGACTTTTAAGGGCTTTATGGTTTAGGGTTTAGGGTTTAGGGTTTAGGCCCTGAAGTTTAGGGTTTAGGGGTTTAGCATCCTTCTTTTTCGGGATTTCTACTGTTGAGGGTTCCATGAGATGCTCCCCTTATTTTAGTCCCCGTCGGTCCCTTTATTGCGGTTCGAATTACTGCGGCCATGTTAACGTAACAAACCAAGTCTCGGGATGTGCTGATGCTTTTGGGCGCTTGGGTTGGGCCGTCTGTGGAGCCTTTGCGATTTAGGGTTTAGTGCTTGAAGTGATGCGGCACAGAGTAAGCTGAAAGAGCCATTCTATATACGCATGCATGCGTGTCTCAAACGTTTGAGCTTGCGAGCTGGACAGTTTCAGTGATTCGGGAAAGGTTGCGAAAATCCCACTTGACTTCCTGACATAAAAGGTTTTCATCGGAGGCAAGAAAAACTTTGACGACACCGACATAACCATCAGAACTGGTGCCGTGGTGTTCCGGAATGCTTTGGATCAGCTTGTTTGGGCCTTTTTTTGGAGGGCTTCGTTCTGGCCTGGCGGAGAAATGAAGCTGAGCCTTGAACCGCACATCGCCCTGAGTGACGCCAGGTCGCAGTTGCCGACTTCGTGAAGCCGTCGCCTGCAGGGACCACCTGGGCGGGGGCCCTGGGCCAGCGGGAGCTGAGACTGAGACTGAGCTTAGAGCTTTGTTAACCAGCCGCCGTGTCTCTTCATATCCGATCCCAAGCGCTCGGGGATGCAAGAAGCGAAGATTGATGATGGTCGTTCATGTTCGTCTTGACGGAAACGCCGCACTGAAAGGGTGACAACTGCGGCGTGACGATGAAGCTGATGACGAAGCTGCTGCTGCAGATGATCACGATGATGGTGATGAGAACGTAGATAATGATGATGACAGGAGTGAGACGATGGGATTGATGAGGTAGTGTTGAATAATGTTGATGACAAAGATGACGGGTAATAATGATGACGGCGATGATGATGGTGATGATAATGATAGTGATGGTGTTGATGCTTATGGTGATGATGTGATGATGTTGATGCTGCTGGTGAGGACGAGGATGAGGGACTCGGTATGACTGCAACATCAATCTTCCGTAACTTAACTCGTTGTTGTGTTCACTTTCGTTCCCGACATCCTCCCAACTACCGGCTCTCTGGTGTTGTAGTGCTTTTGCTGCTTGATTGTGCAGGGCATTGGTGGCACCTGCGTCAATGTGGGGTGTATTCCGACACTTGGCTTTGTGACACACATGGCCGACCAACGTGCCGAATTCGGTTCGAATGCAACTGTTTGATATTTGTATCAACATCTATGCACTTATATGTATGTATACATATACCCACATACGTACATACATACAGACGTGCCTGCCTGCCTGCCTGCCTACCTACCTACATGCATACATACATACATACATACATACATACATACATACATACATACAGATATACATGCATACAGACATACATGCAGACAGACAGACAGAC